GAACTTTACTTGTGATCGTTGGACGATCGGGCGACCGCGGCATTTGAAAGAGGAAAGAAAAATTTCTGGCGGGAAAATCTTTTAGGGAATCCGACCGTATATTTGGCCAATTATTGGCCGGATTGGCAGGGGATGGTGGAAAAATTTGGTTTCGCTACTGCCTTGGATCCGGCCGGATTGTGACGTGGCCGCGGCTGTTCATTTTCGTTCTTCGTTTTCACTTTCGTTGAAGCATTTAGTTGAAGTTCCATTTCACCGTATGGTTTGGTAATCATGTTTCCGGCTTAGTAATCTCTGATTGTTGGTTTCTTGGGGTTCTATCGCGCGTTTCATAGGGTTTACGAGTGTTTTGACTCCGTAGCCCTAGCGAGAGTTGGACAGGCGGTCCGCCGAACCCTCTGGTCCACTTTAAGGGGAGGTGGGCTGTCACAGTGCTCGCATTAGAGCCACTTCAATGTCATTGAACATTCATTTCAGTGTCAAGTGACACTCATTTCACTGTCATTATACATTCATTTCAATATCACTAACTTTCTCCCAATTCACCTCCTTATGTCCTCCAAAACAATAAACAATCCCCTACATTCAATAATCAGTGCAATGATCTCCTAATCTCGTGGTAATACTCGAGTATACCGAAACATTTACCCAAAGCTACTGTCCTACCCGACCAAGCCCTTTGCTGGCTTGAATAGTCCGTTGAACAGAGGGTTTTGGGGCCCAGTTCAGCCGATGCGGCGAGGCACACATATGGCTTACATTCATGCACACTTACAGTAACATTCAGTCAATTATCAACTTCAAACTGAGCTAAACCGAGTGCGATAAAGTACACCCTCGACTTAGAAGGCGAGGGACAAGTGAGATATACTTTACACTGAATCATTTAGTAATAATTCATAATAAGCACATTTGTCACGTAATTTCACTTAGGTACACATAAGCAGTTTAACACATAAATTCGAAAAATACTTACCAATTATCCAAGTAAATTATTCTCGAGTCTTGGGTTTGTTTCCTGGCTCACAGCTACTTCCTGAGCAAATTAATAATTTCAATGGTAAATTTATAATTCGTAAGTGATCACTTATCATTTTTACAATATTATTTAAACTATTAAAATCAAGTTTGACCTTAATACATAAATTTAACATTCTTAACATTTATCCTTTTATTTTCAAAACTTATTAAATTTATCATTTTCAAACCATGAAACATACCTATCTTCAAGTTTAACGTGTATACTCATTCAATCCAATATACTTTCTCAATCCAATATTAATTATGGCTTATAGATACTCCACTCCCTTTTTAAGCTAACTAAACTTTAAGTTATTTGTAAATTAACTTAGTTCACAACCTTCACCTCTCACAATTTATAGTCTTTGAATTACTAAGAAAGCCAATTTTAAGCGATTAGAAGTCATTTCATGAATACGGCCATAACAAATTACTTTAGAATTTCTAAAATATCAAATAAGTTTTAACTCATTGCCATACAACCTATCTACATAAATTCAGCAACAAAACTTCAAGTTTTCATCCAATAACTTCATTTTTCACTTGATTAAATCATCAACTACTTAACTTACATTTAATCTAACATGTATTAGGATAAGAAACATTTAATTGTAACCAATGTTTTGTGCAAACTATGCACACAAATCAGTCTTAACTACCACAGCTTTTAAGCAATCCCTTAGCTATGTATATATCAGGCAAACATACATATCGGTCCAATGTTTGCCGTTTCACTCAAGTTCCTCCTTCCAAGTTTTTATCCCAACTAGACATGTTAACCACGTTTATTAAACTACAAATGAGCCTTGTACAGAACACAAAAGATGGTGCAGCTCACTTAGAGGAAAAGAAAACCGATCAGTCTATTTTTTTCCTCTCTCTCGGCTGTGAAATAATGAACTACATGGTTCAAAGCTTTTCCCCTAATCCATTCAGTTTACTTCCAAATCACGAGCTAAAATAACAACTAAACTACAGAGTACTCTCAGCAAACAAACAAAATGGCAGCCAAGGTAAATCAGAACAACACTGGTTCATCTCTCAGTTTTCCTCCCTCGGCATTTTTTTCCCAGAATTATAGCAGCAATCTTAACACAATTTTTCTCTCTAATAATCTCTTCAGTTCATGCTCAAATCTTTCATGCATGTTCAGACCAAGCTCTTATACATCATATGTTACAGTTTAACATAGATAATCAAGACCAAAAATCATGAAGACAGTTAAGAATCTGTCATTTTCTTTCTCGGGTAAGCTGGAAAATTTTGCAGCAGAAAACTTCCCTTGGTTTCCATCCAAAATCCAACTTTTCCCCAAGTTTTCTTCAACTAAACCTCTCAAACAACAGAGACCAACGTATTATATGCAAAATCTACCATTAGTTTCCAGTTTTACACTAATCACAGGCTGCAACATTAGATAATAACTCCCGGTTCCTGCACTTCAATCCTGTTCCAAGTTTTTCCTCTTTAACAGATTTTTCCTTCGGTTAAAACTTGTTATTCCCTTGCTAAACTAACATGCGTTCAATCTACTCTCTGATATCTAGTAAATAAAAGGTGATTACAGAATTTCTTTACCTTTTTTCCCCTTAAATTCGATAATGGCAGATTACTCCAACTTCCTCTGTTTTGGTTCCTCTAGCTCTTGCTCCAACTATTTTCCTCACAGTTGCTGCTGATATCTGAAGTTGCAAGCTGGTTTCTCCTCTTTCACTCACTTAGCTCTCGGTTTAGGATGATAAAAGGATGAAGAAATGGTGAATTCTGCTGTCGGTTCTCATTCCTTCTCTCGGTGATCACTCCGGACTTCCTCCTCTTATCACTCACTCGGTTGTGGCTGGAAGGCACCATAATTGCTCCTTCACTCTCACTCTTTCGCACAGCTTCGGAAATGAAGATGAGAAAGAAGTTTCAGTCGCTCTCACTTCTCTTCTTTTGTTCCTCTTAGTCGATAATAACTAAGTGACTGATCACACAAAGCTTCATCTGTTGGTGATTGCTAATACCGAAGCTCTCCACTCACTCTTGCTTCAAATAATCTGATAGCTAATGGTCGCATGGTGAATTTGCTGAATTGAAGGGTTAGTTTGGTCTTTTAAATTGTAGTTTAATTGCTTTCCAAGGCCTGAAATCTTTATAATCTCTTGCATGAACCCCTAACTTTTGTTATGTACATTTTTACACTACTACAAAGTATTTATAAATTCTTGATTTTGTTGTAAAATTTAAATTTAGACATTTAATAGACCAATTATTATTTCTAATAGCAAAATAAAAATAATACGTACAAAGCTTACTCGAAATTTTCTCGGGTTCTCACAATAATATTTTTCCTGATGTAATATATGTAAGAAAAAAAGGAAGTGCAAGAGATAAAAATGTCATTAAAAACATATTTATAATGTAACTAAAATTTTTTACAAATAATCCATATCTAAACAAGCCCATTGTGTGCATGTTACCTTCAACTTTATTAGATTTTTTGAGTATTTGAATATGCATTATTGAGTAATTGTCAATATCAACTAAATGAAAGAAGGAAAAATAAGATGTGGAAACAAATAAGGTGGAAAGAAGTCCCATCTTTCGTGTGGATAGTAAACTGTTTGTCAGTTCATCACCTTGCCACATCCTCATCAAATGCAATGGGTTCTTATTGCTTTAAAAATAACTCATTTTATCTACTCCTAAACTATACTATAAATAGACCTAAAAAAGTCACTTGAGATCCTCGGTGACATGAATCCAATGCCAATCCAGTGCCACCTATAGTATTGCGCCACTTGGTCTATTATTATTTACACTTTAATTTTTTAATAATTCAACTTGGTTTGGTTTAACACAAATTTTCTCTATCCTCTAAAACTTTGAACCAAATTAACCAACCGGTCTAATTCCATTACCAATACTTTTGTACAGCAACCACTCAAGATCGGTTGCTTTGGGAAAAAGAAAAAGAAAACCCTAAACAATTGCCTCCAAAGTCCAAGCCTTTTTATCGTTGATGGCTTAGAACAATCAATCGTAGTCGAATAAGCTAAAACTGCAGCCGCCGACTATTGAAGCAAATTGACTACAAAGATTCAGGAATTACTCAAATTAAAGCCCAACCATCCCTAGCTTTCTCCAGCAAAGAACAAACCAAAACATTTCACATCATTCAGGTAATTATCCAACCTTGCATCCGGTTTAAGTCTTGAGTTTTTTCAGCTTTGATTTATTAAATCAATATCACTATTTGCTCCATGATCTTGATTTCGAATTTCAATTTTTTTAATATTAAGAAAGTTAGGAAATAGACAACAATTCGTAAGTATTTTAACAACTCATAAGCAATATCACCCTACCTTATGTTATGCAATTTTATATCTTCATTTTCAATTTCCATTAAAGTGAAATTTACATTGAATTGTGAGTGTGGAAAGATTAAATATTAATTGAGTGGTCAAATTGACTACTTACACGCTACTTGTAATATACCTGGAAAATAAGTTACTTTGTGGGATTAAAAAATTATTTATTATTTCAAGAATTGTTATAAATTTTACTAATGTACCAAATTTAAAAAAAAAGATACAAGAAGTAACAATAGCTTTTCTAACTAGTTGCAAGTAGTAGTAGTGAACAAGTAGAATTGAAAATTCAACTATTTTTTTAAGGAGTACAAGCATGCATGTACTGATCTTGAAAACATGATGATTAAATCAAAAGTAATCTATTATTTTGTTTGTATAGTTGTACGTCAAATGTGTGTTCTATTGCGACCTGAAACATTGCCTTCTTGCATTTCACGTTTCGTTATATGTCAAATTTGGAGCTTTTGACCTTAGTTGTCATTTTTAGGTGGTTTTTGTTGACACGGGATTTGAGGGTTGTTGAAAGGAAAAAGCCCGGAAAAGCAAAAACAAGAAGGAGCTTCCAGTGGGTCAAGCGTTAGAGCAAGTCTTGCCTGTGTCACGACTCTTGAAAGGTTGCAGGATATGGATGCTAAGGCTTCTATGGAAACTGAGGTATCATCTTGTCGTAGATTGGATTTTGACAAGGTAGATCAAATTACCAATGATGAGGTTTCCACTCCACCAGTTTTAAATGTGATAAAGGATATAAATAAAATTCATACATTGATTTCTTTTGAACTAATTCCGAAGATGGGCATGGAATTTGAGAGTGAAGAAGATGCTTATAATTTTTACTTAGCATATGCAAAGGAAGTTGGTTTTGGAATCAAAAGAAGTAGCTTCTACAAAGATAGTAATGGTAAGCTCATGGATAGGGTATTTTGTTGTAGTGCTGAAGGAAAACGAGGAAAGGATAAAAGAGATCTCAATGTAAGAGCCCCTCGTCCTGAAACACGATTTAATTGTTCGGCGAAGATGAAGGTTAACAGTAGACAAACTGGTAAGTTTCGTATATGTCAGTTGATCATTGAGCATAATCACTATCTTTCAAGTTCCAACAAAAGTCATTTACACAGATCACATAGAAAGATAAATTCTATTCATGCAGCTGAAATTGATATGGCATACCGTGTGGGTATAGCACCAAAAGTTTCTCATGAACTTATGGCACTACAAGTAGGAGGATGGGAGAACTTAGGTTTCATTCCTAAGGATTACAGGAATTATTTACGTTCTAAATGAATAATACAAATGGAAGTTGGAGATACAGGAGGCATACTTGAATATTTACAAAAAATGCAATTAGAGGATCCTAATTTCTTCTATGCAATTCAAGTGGATCAGGATGCTTTGATTACAAATATTTTTTGGACTGACGGATTAATGAGGGCAGATTATGCAAGTTTTGGAGATGTTGTTTGTTTTGACACGACGTATAGAAAGAATAATGAAGGCCGTCCATTTGCATTATTTGTTGGAGTGAATAATCATAAACAGACTGCAATATTTGGGGCTGCTTTATTATATGATGAAACTGCTTCAACATTTGAGTGGTTGTTTGACACTTTTGCGAGAGCAATGTCAGGAAAAAAACCAAATACTATACTTATGGATCAGGACGCAACAATGGCTAAAGGACTAATTTCTACATGGCCTGAAACACGTCACTGTCTTTGCATATGGCATATATTTCAAAATGCAGCTATTCATCTCAGTCATGTGTTCGAAAGTTTTAAACAATTTGCGAATGATTTCAGTAAATGTGTATATGATTTTGATGAAGAAGAAGACTTTATATCTGAATGGAATACTATGTTGAAGAAATATGGTCTTGAAGACAATGATTGATTAAAACGTATGTTTGAGATTAAAGAAAAATGGGCATTGGTGTATGGAAGGGAAACATTTTGTGCAGATATGACAACAACTCAAAGGAGCGAAAGCATGAATAGTGTGATAAAAAGGTATGTAACCTATAAGAATAAATTTCATGAGTTTTTCAATCATTTTGAGAGGTTAGTTGATGATCAGAGATATAAAGAACTTAAAGCTGACTTTAGAGCATATATGAGTACTCCAGTACTACCATTCGATGTTGATGTTTTGAAACATGCTGCAAGTGTTTATACTCTTGAAGTATTCAAATGGTTTGAAATTGAGTGGGGTAAATCTTATGATTGTGGTATAATCACCTACAGTGAGGTTGGAACAGTGACAGAATATAAGATCACTCCTAAAGGCAGAAAAAACTATCATATGGTTAGATTTGATTCAATAGGTGATCAGATTTCATGTAGTTGCAAGAAGTTTGAATTCTCTGGGATTTTATGCTCTCATTCTCTGAAAGTTCTTAATATAAGAAATATCATGAAGATCCCTAGTCAATACATAATAAAGAGATGGACCAATAAAGCAAAAGCTGGATATGTTAAAGACAACAATTGTTGCAATATCAATAATGATTTGGATCCAAAAGTGGCTTTTACGAAGCGTTACAGAGATTTGTGTAGACTATATACTCAATTGATCACAAAAGCTGCTCAAGCAGAAGAAACTTATAAAATTGCTAAAGAAGGCCTTTTGAAAATATTGGATTTGGTTGATGCAAGGTTACATCAAGAGGGGTCGAGCAATGAGATGTCAAATGCAGCAAAAGTTTCCAACCCCACAAATAACACTACTAATGCAAGTGGTATCAATATCAAGGGTATTAAAAAAAAGATGAAGACTATTTCATGCAAGAGATTGAAGAGTAGTCTAGAAAAGGCTACTAAGAGAAGAAGATCAACCAAAAAAAGTTTGCAAAATAGTATAACTATGGAGTTACCAGCGCCATCACATAATGAGGTTTTATTGCATTATAATTTTACTATATTTGTAATTCAATATTTTCTTATATTATGCATCCAATCTTTGTTTTTTCTTTTCATTAGCCTATAGGAGATACTATAAATATTGTATCTACGAGGTGCAGTATGCAACAGCATGGATTACAAGAGGTAATGATTCGACATTATATGTAGACTAACAATTAAGTATTATTACTGTCAAACTATTTATAAATGTGTTTATTTATTTTTATTTTTAGGCAAATACAAATGAGGGGAGCATGGTAGAATCTTTACGGTATCAACAAGAAACTTTTATCCAACCATGTTATTCTATGCCAGTAAGTATGATAGAGTCTTTGCAATCTCAACAAAGCAACTTTGTGCAACCATATCATCCTACACCGGTAATTTTTTAGTTTCTTATTTGCATAAAATTATTTTATAAAAATTTTATGTTTTGGTTTATACTGAAGTTCATGAATATTTTTCACTTTTGTGGTTGATAGTTTGTGAATTTGGATGTTAATCAACAAAATTATGGCCAGCTATGCACTTTCAGTTCCATGAACATGACCGGCTTGCTCAAGGTAAATTATTACAGTTGTGATCATGAATAATTACTTCTTTAAGAAAAGATTGTTTATTGTCTTTTTTTATTCATCTCTTTATTTATGTGTTCAATTTTTTGGTGATATAATTCTAACCATAGGCACAAGAATTACATGGTTTCGAAGGAGCGAAAATAAATCAGTTCGAGTTGAATGACAACTCTTGCACTATGGGACAACAAGTTGGAGTTGATTGCAATGATAGGTGTGGTTGTCCAGTTCCATGCATCAATGATATTTCGTGCAAGTGTTCAAGTGGACAAAAGACCTGAAAATTTGACAGAAATTGACAATGGAACTTTTCGTGCTTCCCAAAATTAATGCACATTCTTCTATGTAGAATATATGTTTCAATTGACACTAGTACTGAGTTTTTAGATCTTTCATTTGAACACTTTGTTACCATTCCAAAATTCAATAAGACATTTAGATATTGTGGAATGTGAAGAGGCTTGGAAACCATAGTATCATCGACTATCGCCCCTCTTGACATAAGTTTATATTTTCAATTCTGATAATGGACACAACACAAGCATAATAATCCCTGTAAAACATTAATTATTTAGCATGAACTTCAATTTAACTGAAACAAAAGCTGACGTTGTTCATTTTGCATGCAAATAGCGAATATGAGTGCATACAGTAAACAAAGGGATAAAAACTTCACGCCGAGAAAATGCAGTCTACTCTTACATATCTTGTGTCATAAAACATAATTGACTTAGATGCTATGCTCTGACAAAGAACCAACAGGACAAAGTTCTTGTTGCAATTTCCCTGCTGCTTATGTTTCTGCTTCATAAAGTCCAGAAAGAGTAAATCAAAGGAGAAGGAGCAGAAGGAAGACTGACACTTCTCCATCGTTTCCTCTGTTTCATATTACTTTGAGGCAGCTTTGCTATCTAGATTTGGGAACTGATCTTTTGTGCTTGGATTGATTTTTTATCAGACAGTTAGAGAAATAGGTTTTGCAAGACATAATAAGAGGTCTCCAACATTTGCTTCATGGTGCTTTAGATCTTTCCTTGTGGAAAATTAGTGCAGCATCTCCTGTGAGGGAACTCATTCCTCAGATTAATACATTACTTGTCTAGTAGCAAGTTAATTGCATTCGAAAAGAAACATATGTCTAGAAAATGAAGACCATACAGCATACAACATTTAAAAATGTTGGCAAACCAACTTTCTGACTTTTTCCCAAACTCCAGAATCAATAGGTCTATTTGCAGAATGGTGACGGTACACAGTTCACAAACTATTAAGTTGTCTCAAAGATCTATGCAAGAACTGAATATAATTCATGTGAAAGAACAAATAAAAAATCTTAGAAATTACAGATAGGTCATCAAAGCTATCATCAATTAAGGGCAAGAAGTCATCTATTATTCACATATCATGTTCCTGCTTCATAGATCTTGAAAGCTGTCCAAAATAAAAATCGACGGGGCCTAAAATGATTTAAAGAACAAAAGATAACACAAACACAACTCACTTAAGATATTGAAGAGTCATATTCTTCAAAAGAGAAGGATGTCTTGGAACAAGGCTATGCCACTCTTCTTTGTCAATCTTTCCAAATCAGAAAATGGATTAATATATTAGCTTCTTGCTCCAAGAAAATGTTCCAAATAACTTCTAAGAATTTCCTGGAAGCGGATGCATAAAAGGTAAGGCATGAGTTACTGCAATCGTTAACAGAGCATCATGAACCAATTCCCTATAGAAACAACTATAGATAATAACAATTTTTCTGCATTGCAAAATATCAAAACTTTGCTGTTATATATTCTAAACTATTCCAGCAAGTGTTGCGACTATCATTTGTTTTACCTACAGTGAGATCACCAAAAGCCAAGTTCCTTCCAGCAAGGCAAAAACCACAGAAGAAAAATGAAAGGGTGAAAAACAAAGGATTTCACAATGTTTAGAATACGTCAAGGAAAACTTTGAAATTCATGCAACAACCACCTCTGAATTATGAAAAGTAAACCAAAGACATTAAGGTTATTTACAAATAGATTAAACAAAGACATCACAAACTTAACATCACCATTCAACTAATTCTAGTCATGGATTTAACTAGGATCATTCTATACATTGCAACAGAAAGGGTGTTACAATTGATAAAAAAAGAATAGGTTCCCTATATTTCTCCTTTGCATTTGTTCTCTCTATACAACTGATACTAGACTGCATTACAAAACCAAGTACCTACTTAACATCTCCCTGGCGTGTTACAATTTCAAAACCAAGTACACTTCTATTTCTTTCGTTCTTTCTACAAGCAACAAACTGTGAGCAAAAAGATTTGCTACATGACAAAGCTATAATAATGGAGCATTTCATCTTACTTTCTTCCAAGCAACTGAAGAAAAGAAAGACAAAATTCCAGGCCGAGAAAAACCATATATCATCATATACTTGTAACGATTGATGGTTGCTAGGGTGCTTCACATTTAATTGTAGAAAAACTATAACTTCCTTTACAAATCATAAACAGACAAGTAAAATATAACACAATAATACTCAAAACCGAAAATACAATTGAAATTAAAGTTGATTAAAAAAAACTGAACAGTATAAATAAGTGGATAAATTAGTAACTAACCAATGTGTCTGACTAATCTCAAGTTCTTTACTCTTCCATATATGCTCATAGCCTGAAGAAATAGACAAGACCCATATCCCCAATTCAACAGATAAGCTCAAAAAAGTAATCTTTTGAAATAAAACGCCATAACCAAAAAACAACAAAACAAAGTGAAAATCAAGAAAATGAAACTTAAATAAAAAAAAAAGGACCTGGCGAAGAGTTTCTTCAGTGGTGGAGTGGGAAAGACGGCCCACAAAAATCATGCAATAGGGGTCGCCAATCACCTTTGGATCACCGAAAGGGTCATCTGCAAGAAAATGGGCACATAAAAGAGTGGGGAAAATGGCAAAAAAGAAATTACAAGAACCTGGGAAGGAAATCAGCAATAGGAAAAGTTACAGAGGGCAGAGTTGCAGCAAAGGAGAGCTCTGTAGACGGCGTTGTCGTGAGGAAGAACGTTTGGTAAATACTAGGACCAGGCTACAAGTAGAAGGGCAACGCCAAAATTACATTGGAAAATCAGAAATTAAGCCCTTTTGCTATCGTAATCAATGACCTCAGAATCAGTAACGGACCTGGAATGCTGCACAATTGAGCATCCGATGGAGTTGATCCAATCTTCTTTCTCCTTCTACAAACTCAGCCATGAAGTACATGGTATCCCTGCCAATGGAGAGCTCGAAAGAGAAGGGCTTGTTAAGGACGTCCTTGGTGCCTTTGACTGTGAGGCAATCAGCAGTGAAGATGATGCCGCGTGGAATGGTGGAGCCGGTGGTGGAAATAAAGGACGACGACTCTGAAGATGTGGATGTCATCAGAGTGGATAGGAGATGTTGAAGGTAATCAATGATGAAAGTATTGGTAATGGAATTAGACCGATTGGTTAATTTGGTTCAAAGTTTTAGAGGATAGGGAAAATTTGTGTTAAACCAAACCAAGTTGAATTATTAAAAAATTAAAGTGCAAATAATAATAGGCCAAGTGGCGCAATACTATAGGTGGCACTGATTGGCATTGGATTCATGTCACCGAGGATCCCAACTGTAAAAAAGGACATGAACAAATCCAAGATCGACTAAGATAGGAGATAACTAAAGAAAAGAGAAGAAATTAAATCAATCATTAAGTGATTTACCTAATTGGAAAAGCAATTTATGATAAATTACTCACTATACACGTGCAATGCATGTGCATTTTCCTAGTTTGATCACTATAAAGGATAAGGATTTGGCTCATCTCCACTAAATTCTCTCTTCATTTCTTATAATACATATTTAAATGTATGACATGCGTCTTTATTTATTAACAAGACTTAAAATTAGTTAAACTTGAAATGGTCCTGTCTTTTTTAGTAAATAAAGACACACGTATTTCATCCACAGGTGCATTCTAGGAAATGAAAAGATAATTTATTAGAGAAGAGCCAAATACTAAAGGATAATGCTGTGGTGACTTATCATCAAGTCACTTTGCAAATATTATTTTAATAATAAAACATTGGAAAAACTGGTGGTCATTCAAGTTTTCAAGTCTCAGAAACTTGAAAAGTAAGATAAGAAGGTAAAGTAGTAAATTTGAATATAAAATTGGTAAATTTAGTCACAAAAATAACAATTTAAAGTACTTTTAGCACCTAAAAGTGTTTTTTTTTTTAACCAAAGTATCGCAACTCCAAACATGGCTAAATATCTAATGAAAATTACCTCTTGATTGCAAAAATGGTAATTTTACTACCAAAAAAATGAAAGTTACATATTCTTTTTTTTCCTGAAGGAATTACCAATTCTTTCACTAATTTTGCTACCAAAAAAAAAGTGTCGGATATCATCTTAAACCATCTTCTCTTGTTCAAAAAGAAAAAAGGATAATTCAAAAACCTCCCTGAGGTTTCTAACAATTTCACTAGTCTCCCTTGAAGCATGCCAACTTACACAAATCTCTCCTAAGGTAAAAGTTTTGAAAATAAAATTAGTCCAATTAGAAAAGTAGAATTAAAAAAGTACTTTAAGGAGAGAGATGAAACTTTTATTCCATAAATACCCCTTATGCATGTATATAAGTTGTATTCGAAAAAAATAAAAATAATTAAAAATTAGCAACAATTAATACACACATTTTACTATTTAAAAGTTCACCTTTAATAAATTAGACAATACAAATAAGCAACAAAACTACACTAATGATCACAAACAAAGGACCAATAAGTGTTCTAGAAGGATAATTGATGTGGAGTGTAAATATAAATGGAAGAATAAGGAATTTATATGTAATTACATATGTGACAATTAACGAAAGCAATAAATGTTGATGTTGGGACCAAGATTTAAGTAGTTGGATCAAAATTATGTTTCCATATGGATGCCCTGGGGCTGTTGGTAAATGATATGTAAAAACTCTTGTAAGTGACCTATGGTATCAGGAGCACATTCTAATATGTGGTGATGACCAGAGTCAAATTTACTTAAACTTTTTTCGTATCAAAAAAATAGTATGGAATTAACACTAAAAATTCCCTATGATGGACATTTGATAAAAGGGAACACAAATAAACGGAGAGTATCATCATATCTAAATAATACAGGGAACAGATAATGTTTCTTACAAGAGTAAAATTCTCATTAAAAACATAATGTAAGAACCAATGAAATACTAGAATTTTGTCCATGTCTTAACACGGACTTTTTTTATTTATTTATTGTGAATTTGTATAAATATAAATAATTTAAATACAAAAATTAATAGCGATCCTACATGTTCATTCATATTAACTTTAAAAAAATTAATGTATTTTAAAATTTCAATTATTTACTAATTTTTAAAAATTTCTTTACATACTTCTACTATAATATCGTAATATACATCAAATAATGTACCCCATATAAAAAACTTGGTAGATATTTCTTTTTTATAAATATTCTTTTAGATAATTAAAATTTTATAATGACCATAAAGCTAGAGCTATATATTCACATTTAATTAAGTAGAAAAAAAAATCTAACATTCCATTTTTCTTCATTAACAAATATTCAGTTTTTAACAATATTGATAAATCTATCGGTGTAACAATTAATTTTCTTTTTTGCACCAAGTTAGTTCATATGGATAAAAATGATATTGTTATAAGGGAGAGGAAGTATAACAACAAAATAATAAAACACCAAATGAAGGCTTGAATGATATTTGATGAGATCCTTCCCGAACTGATGTTTAGTTGAAGATTTAGCAAGTGGCAAGGTTGCGTATTTGAATCCCTAGAATTGTATGTCCTCTGCAAAAAATGAAATTCATGATTTTAGAAATTTATGTCATCTGCGATTCATAATTTCGATAAACCACCCCTATTTCTTTTCATGATCTTGGAATTTTATGTCCTCTACAATTCGTGATCCTGGTAAATGACTCCTGCTCTTGCAATTGGAGGAACACAGGAATTTTAGTTTCCACGCATGAATATGAACTTAAACTACAAAAGGTACATAGAGGAGATGACCACTTGACAAAAATGAAATTTTTGCTTGCATAACACCACAAAACATTAAAACAAACAAAGTCATCAAATGCAATTGAAAACTATTGATTTAATTCAACCTTATTTAAACTTCTTTCTTTTGTTCCCCATATTTGTACTAGAATAAGGAAAAAATTGGATGCATTAGGACAACATACCAATCTCAAATTTTCACAGGATATGTGTATTCATAACAAAGAAATTGGTCAAATAGGTGCTAAAATAAACCATGATAGGTATTTAATTAAAACTTTAATAATTACAAAAAAAATCACCAATGATATATACATGTACAAACTTTAGAATTAACATACACAAACTTTAGCAAGTGAACACAAAGAAGGAAAGCTGATATCTTCTCAATGAGGTAAAATTTCAACCGAAAAAGACCTGTTGTTTAAGTATATTTAAAGGGAACAATGAGAAATTTTAGTTGATAGAGATGACGTTTTAAATTTTGTATTTTTTAAGATAGTAGCAATAATGGAAGAGATGATGAACACTTTGAAATACTAATCAATGAAATGGTAGTGAAAGAAAGTAATTTATGAGATATATAAGATTTCAACAATTGTGACTTGAAAAAAGAGATTTTACCACAGTTTTATATAATAATTTGACAGAAAGTAGATATTATTAAAAATATTAGTTTTTTTAAAGTTATTATAAAATTAGAGATAATTTTTAAACATATAATATAATCTAAGTAGGATTCATTAATCAGTAAAACCTAAATAACCCATAACCCTTTAATTCTGTCCAACCGGCAATGTCAAGTAGGAAAGAGAAAACATTTGATTGAAATAACAACTTTCAGATGTACACATATAGATTCGTCTACTAGACAAAGAAGAATTCTATGATAACATAGTGGAGGAGCAGTATGAATCATCATATGAATAATTAAATAGTGGAGTACGAACAATTGACGAGTTTGTAGCATTTAGCCGATGAAAAATTTGCTTGTTAATAAAAGATTCACGATATAAACACGATGTTATGTTAAAAATATTGGTTCTCTTTGGAAGTAAAGGTTAGAAAGAAAGTTAACCCAATATCATGTTATTGGTTCGCATGGACATTGGTAACCAGTGATTCGCGAAAGTGAAATTACAAATGAGTAGGATTGGTTGAATGAAAATATAGAGTAACCCAAAAAATGGAGGAAACAAGGAAAAAAATACAAACAAAACTAGTGTGAATATCTGTGCTACGCATGGTGTTAATGTTATTAAAAGAAATAAAAAAAAGAATGAAGTAAAAAAAAGTAAAAAACAATTGTAGCAATATAATTAAAATTTAAGATTTGTCTAGCAATAATTCAAAGAATAATAAAATGCGTACATTATTTAAGAACTATATTTTTGCAGAAGATGGATCATAAAATAATAATAGAAATTTATATTAGAAAATGAATGCCATATGAATAGAAATGAACATAATTGCATGTTTTATTTGATATCAAAATTAAATATTTACAAACATTATGCATTTGATTTGATAATCTTGTATGAAAGTACAAACATTTTTCACACAAATCAATCTTTAGTACGAAAGCCAATTTTGATGGTTTGATTGAAGCAGTTGAATTTTATGAAATTCGTACTATAAAAAACTGTACAGAAAGACTTGTTTTTTCTTCGAAGTAAACTTGTTGAAGCTTTTGAAATATTTCAATAGGATCACTTCGGTGTGGGTTTCGTTTTGTGATTAGTTGGTTTCTTCTTTGCAATCTTGCAAATTTGGAATTGAG